CAACTTCAACATTTTTTAAAATACAAAGAACTAGGGAGCGTTGCATAGCACTGTGGTTGTAGCGGGCGGCCGGAGATCCAGTCCCGTCTGCGGCTCTTTTACTGCATCTTTTAGGCCGTTAGTTCCGGGAAAAAAAAATAAAACAAGGATCAGATGGATAGTGTAGAGTTCCTATAATCCACATACGCCCAAAAATATACACAGGTTATTTTTATATATCGTGATCTGGGCTTTATGCATGAATAAACAACACATTTCCACTTTTTTTTTTTCTTTAAACACTGGTTTAAATGTGTGCGAACATTAATGATAAACAAAATTTTCACGTCCTTTTAATTCTTCGTGCTCTCCTTCATTTATTCGTGCTCTCCCTGCTGCAGGCTGGAGAAATGCCACACACCTTCAAAGCGTCTGCTAATGTCTAATCGTCCATTCAGCTCCTGACAGCGTGTACCATCTCTGATTCTGACAGGAGTCCAAGTCCACCTCCATCTGTGTCCAGAACTCATGGGAAGGGGCTGAAAACACTGTTTCTCATTCCATGGAGAGCTGCACACTGTCCGTCTGCTGCTGCTGCTGCTGCTGCTGCTGTTGTTCAAACTTCCTGGCTGGAGAGAAAGATTACATCGACACCGGAGGCTGATTTCAAAAGTCTATACATGGTTAACTCAATATTCAGTTTCTAAGAACAGAAACTGATGAGAACTAATAAAAAAACTAAATCAAGTTACCAGGGTTTCTGCAGATTTTACCAACTCAATTTTTTAAAATATTTCAAAACTGTTGTGAATGGAATCTAAGACCTAAATCTCCACAGAAATGTACAAACTTTGTCCAGCCAACTAGCAATAAATTTGCACTATCATGGTCATGATAGGCGCGAAAAAGCAACTAGCAAGCTAACTACCTAGCTAGCAAAGAAGTATTAGCAGCTAGTTAGCCATAGCCATAATGAAAATGTCTGAGTGTGACTCTAATATTTGCTTGAAAGAAAAGACTCAGAAAAAAAACTACATCAAATAGTTCTGTCAACAAAATTTAAAACCTGTTATTAACTTTTATAAAAAGGAATTCAAGACATTTTAAGGCCTTAATTTCAGACACATGATGATGTAAGACTTTTTAAGGCTGCGCGCTCACCCAGAGAGTACATCTCAAGCTGCTGCCGCAGCCGCACCTTCTGCAGGCTGTCGTAGAAGTTAGGCTCTGGGATGCTGCCGACGGTGGGAGGCAGCGTGAAGATCCGCATGATCTTCCTCTTGTTTCTAGTCGGGATCACAACAGGTTTACATAAGCACCATCACAACAACAAAAAAATGCCTTAATAGTGTTATAAAGACACTATGAAGGCATTCATAGTGCCTTCATAGTGACACTATGAGGTGCACTACAGCTCCACGCACCACAAATTATATTTACAAGTTTTGCTATATACAACTTAGCGTGAATCCCACTCTCCCTCCTGAACCTCATGTGTCTGAGGTGTAGGGCTGAAAAACAGGAGCTGCACTTGCAAGTCTGTTTAGAAATGGAAATAATTTTCCAGTTTGCATCCATGTAATGTAGGATAACCACTAACATCTAATTGGAAAGGTTCTCATATTTTATGTTACCACTGCCTACAAACAAAAATTGAGCAATTTCTTTTTCTTTTTTTTTTTTTTACATTGACAGCTATTGTATTGTGCATCATAAGTTATATTGTTTAAAGGGGTAGTATTGTGTATTTTCCAGGCACATAGTGGCATTTTATAGCATAATCAGGTTACCTTCAGTTGTTATAAAAAAAATACTGTATCAAACATGACTTAAAAGAAATTTGACTTAGCAATTTCTCGTCTTGAAATTGAGCCTCTGTTTCTTTAAGAAGCTCCTGCTCTTTCCGAAACTCCGGCTTCAGGAAGTCATCGCAACGTTTCTCCTTTAAAAGCCTTTAACATTATTTTTAATCAGCATTTTGCAGAGAAGCAGTTCAGTAGAATAAGCTCAACAGATCCAGTTCCACCAGGTGTCAATAGCACAGCAGGGCCGAGCGCAAATCGTGACACCGCACCTACTAATGGCACTTC